CCTTGTTCGATCACGAATGTTGTCTTTTCTTTATCAAGCTTGTGCATGGCAATCTGATTATAACCTGAGTAGCTGATTCCTTGATGTTAAGTCAACGAGCAGATCGATTCGGGGAATTGGGTAGTTATCTTTAGGGCATACCTTGTTGAGATTGATGTAATCCACGCATACTCTCTATTTTCCCTTCTCTTTTTTCATCACTAGCATGATGTTGGCTAGCCATACTAAGTGTGCCACTTCCTGAATGAATATGGCCTCCAGTAACTTGTTGATTTCGGCCTCAATGATATTCGCTCGGGTGCGAAAGGTCGCATTTTCTGGATCACAGGTTTGGCAGTGGGATGAACATGCAGCTTGTGACAAGCTATCGCTGCATCAATGCCAGGCATGTTAGAGGGTGACCATGCGAAGACGTCGCGATTCTCCTTAAGGAAAACCTTAAGTTCTTTCTTTTTCGCTGGGCTCAGACGTGAGCCGATTTTAGCCGTCTTTTCCGGCTGATAGAGGTTAAGAATGATGTTTTCAGCGTCATCTTCGATTTTCCATCCTGATTCATCTTCCAGGGCATTGTTGACCTTGACATCATTTTCTTGACTTGCCTGCTGTAATTGCTATTTGGTGGAGGTATAGTCGTCTTTCTGCACGTCAGCTGTTACTGCTGGGGCAAAAGATTTCTTCTTTGACTCTTTGAGAACTTACATAGTGCATCGTCTGAACATGGCCTGGTCGCCTTTGATCTCTCCAATTACTCATCTAGGATGCGAAATCGGATTTTCTGATACTCGATCGATGTCACAGCTCCAGTCTTCACTAGCCACGGACGGCCCAATATCTCGTTGTGGGGAGATGGGTCACTAACGATCATGAAGGTCTGCGACGAGCCAATCGGTGAGCTGGTTACATCGAGTGTGATAATGCTAATGGCAGTTAAGGTGAGTCTGTTGAATCCGGTCAAGACATTCGTTTTGCATTTGATCGTGCTTTCCAGGCCCATCTTTTAGATGACTAATAGTTGTATGAGGTTGACTGAGCTGTCGTTGGCCATCATGACTCTGTCAACAATGGCGTGGGCTGGTTGTATAAAAACCACCAAGGCATCGTCATAGGGAAAGTCTACTCCCTCAGCGTCTTGCTCGATGAAGTCGATGATTGGTCCAGGTACAACATTTACAGCTTGAACCTGATTGACTGATCTTGCCTGCTGGATATTCCTCTTCTTGGAGTTATTGGTGGCCCCCAGATGCTCGGATTGGGCAAAGATTCTATTGATTCGGACTGTCTAGGTTGGGGGTTCGGCATCAGCATCTGCTTCTCGCATTGGCCAGGCAACTGGTTTGTCGATAAACTGGTCGCACTTGCCTTCCTTCATGAGCTGCTCAAGTTACTTTTTCCATGTAGTGCAATCATTGGTTATGTGCCTAGGACCTTTGTGGAATGAGCAATATTTGGTCTGGTTCATCTTGGAGGTGTCTCCCCTTAAAGGTGGTGGTAGCTTAAACTATGGCTTGTCCTTGAGGTCGAGAAGGATTAGGCTGATCAGGACTGAGAACTTGGTGTACTTCTTGGGCGTTGTGCCTCCCTTTGTTGGGGACCGGTCCCTACGTTTGTTTCCTGGCTTGTTTTTGTTGTTGAGCTGTTTATCGTTCGCTTTCTTCTGAGTTGGTATCACATCTTTGCCCGGCTGCTTAGGTGGCTTCTGGGAGAACTTTTCATCATCCCAGAATGAGTGTTTTTCTACCAAAGCATAAGAGTTTGCCAGGGACAGGTTCTTGCCCATAATCAATTTCCAGAAAAGTGGGCGATCTGCTGGAAACCCTTTTTGGAAAGCTGAGCATGCGATGCTGTCATTGCATCCGACAATTTTTTATTTCTCCGCCTTCAATCTCTTAACGTAAGTGTGGAATGACTCATTCGGGTCCTTCTTCATGCTAAAGAGGTGGTCAGACTTCTTCTTGATCGAGCGGTAGGATAAATATTCCTTAGTGAAAACGAAGGAAAGTTCGCTGAAATTCTTGATTGAACGTGGCGACAGGGTGTGGAACTAGTCTTGCGCCTCGCCTTGGAGCTTCATGGCAAAAATCATGCACATGAGAGCGTTATCGTTGACGTAAAATGTCATGGCACTTCGGTAGTGCATCAAGTGCCTGTCCAGATCTTCATCTCCATTGAATAAGGTGAAATGTGGCGGGCTGAACTTTCGTGGTGGCTCCGACTGCTCGATCTCGTCTGTAAAGGGTGATCTGCTCAGGTTGGCCACGTCTCTACAAAGGGCATTGTCGGTAGTGTCAATGCGCTAGAATCCGCGCAGTTGTTCTACTACGAGTCTTTGTACTTCCTCCTAGATTTGTACCTGGTGAGGCAGTAGAGTCTCAGCTGCCCCCGGTGTTGATCTGCTGGTCTATGTCGCTCTTCGACATGTTGTGTCGCGGTTGTTGTGCTGCTTGCCATTGCTCTTGGCGGGGGCTGCTAGTGGAACTTGAGCTGGACTGCTTACGTGCTCTTTTTTGGATGTCAGATGGTTGCCTACTCCGTTACCTCGTAGGAGGATCTCCTTGTGGACCTAGCCTCGTGTGGATGCTTCACTTGGAATGTCTTGGGTACTCATCGGAGTGTGGACCTAACCTCAAATGTAAACTAACTCGTGAGCCAATTCGGGAATGAACGCTTCTTTGCGCATCTAGGCAGGGAAGAGTGCACACTACCTGAACACACAGTTCGTGGTGGGCTGAGCGATTCTTTGCCAGGACGTCGCTAGAATGAGTCACATTCTTCTGCCCTTATCCTGCTTCGGGACACCTCGTCTGGGGCGCACTACATCTCGATGCGCTCGAGGAGTTAGTTCACCAAGGTGGTCTGTTGCGCGAGGGCGTTTGTCAAATTGGTAACCTGCTAGGGCAGATGGTGCTCGTCATTTGGATTGGAAGAACTTGGATGATAGGTGTCTCCATGTGTGGTGGAAGTATAATGGATTGCAGGTACAAAGTTTGTGCCCAAAGCAGGCATTTCTGCAGAAAAGTAGGGTGTAAGTAACCCTGAATTGATCGTGAGACTTGTGGTCAGAATCTGGACCGTTGGAGGTGGCCTTGGAATGGATTGAGCCACGAGCCAGGTCGTCGGAGAAGGTCTCAGGGCACGTTGGACCGGCGCTTGCTTGTCTTGGGCCTGCATGGTGTGAGCCCATTTGACCGTTGGGTTGCCACATCATGGCCTGCTAGCTGAGTGGCTTGGGCCTAGGCCCATTGAGTTGTCTGGCTGGCAGCAGCTACCGCATTCTGGGCTTGGGTTTGGGCCTGCTACTGCAGTGGGCTGGGCCTTCTGCCCAGGGCTTGCTGTGGTAGTTGCCAAGTTTCGGGCCTCCTGCCCATAGGACTGGGCCTTCTGCTTAGGGTTTGGTAGGGTGCGACACTACAAAGGTGGAAATAGTGTCGTGGCCTGATGGGTCACGATGATGGTGGTAATGGTACGGCTTTGCGGTGGTGGGGCTCCTCCTGCCATCGCGTTGAGCCTTGAAGACCTCCGATGTGGGGCAATGTCCTCGTCTCCACTTTCTAGTCCAAATCCTTGAACGTACGGGGTTCTGTTCGTCATAGTTTCTGAATTTCCTACCATTGTATCCTTTCTCCAGGGATTGATCAAGAAACTTTTATAAGAAAAATTAATTGATACGACGTGTGAGAAATTCAATGTAATAGAAAATTCAAGAAACAAATGCAAGAGGCTTCTTCGAGTGTTTTGAATCAGCTCTCAATGAAAGCACCAATTTGTCGATGCAAATTTCCACCGTCTTCAGTCTTGACGAAAATACACCTAGAAAACAATCAACACCTTTGATCAGAGACCTAAGCCTTACCCGCTCGCGAGCTGGGGGAGGGGTTTAGGTCAATGGATCTCCGATGTCTAAGTTAGTTTCTCTGAAAATTTGGTAGAATATGTGGTATTTATAGGGCTAGGGTTGGCCATATAGTGTTTAATGGAGATATATTCTCTAAATATTCCCAAGATGTTTAATAGGAGATAATATCTTGAGATAATGGGGTAATTATCCCTAATTGATTTAAATTAGGATTACTTACTTGATTGGAGTCAATTTTCAATTAGGAATGCATTAAAGATAGAATTTGGGTTATTAATCCTTATCTTTAATTCCTTACCAATGGCATGGGAGCTGTGGGCAGTTGTGTTTAGCTGCTGAGATCTCCATGGGTGCGAGCTGCGCGTGAGAACATCTGAGAAGCCTGCTCATTTATTGAGGGCAATCTTGTCTTTCTTGAATAAAGGTCCACGTGTCGCCTCTAGAATATTTGTGATTATTTTAGGCTCCACAGACATCATTTAGTTTACAAAATTTAGCTTTCCTCGCATTACCCTTTTTTTCTTCTATAAATTGCCCTTTAAATGCCTCTCACTAATAATTGTTAGAGAGACTAGGTTAATTGAACACCATGATGAGCTACGTTATTTATTTAATACACCATCCAATAATATATGACAAAATTATATATGTGTTCTCATTCCCTTCTAAATTTCAATTCGTAAGCCTAATATATAAACAAGAAAGTCAAAAAGCCGATGCAGAAAGAAAGGAAGCAACAGAAAGAGGACTGTATTGATAGCTGGTTGAGAACTTGAGAAATCCCATATTAATTATGGCGGAATTTACTACACATGAATTTTTATCTCTTCATAATATGTTCCTTCTTCACAGTCACAGTGAAATCCCACAGATCTCTATATATTTCTCATTGAAATCCCATATATCCATTTTGTCGTAGTCCGCTATCAGCTTGTCACGAGCTCCCCTCTCCATGTTGTATATCTGGGGTTCAAAGTTGTGGGGTTTGTCCGGCTTATCCATCTCAATGATGCAAAACACAATTGTAAACAGACCGGCGCCAATGTACAAGTACTCCCCTTGAAAAACAATGCATTTGGGATATGATTTCCTATGCGACAATGAACAAGACCATCATGTTAATGAATGCAAAACAATTGGCATTACCGGAGCGTTGAAATACATTCCAGCAGCAATTGCTGCTGGGAGAAAAAAAAAACCATGATATAAGACCTGCCGAAACAACCAAAATAGATAATGTTCGTTTGCTGTAATGTAGGTTAGTGAATGATCAAAGTTGTTTGGTAGGCATTCGTATGTACCCTGAAAACCTGTAGGGGTTCCAACTGCTTCAATGTCTTCTGCTATTGATCCCCAAAAGCTTCCGGGATAAGAGTTTGCAGAAGCAAGTCACGGTTCTAGAACGAATAATTTAATAACATAACATGTTAGATTACCTGCCACTAAGTGTGCTAACTAATAGAAACAGGGTACCTTTCTTCTATTCGCCTTCGTTGTAAGTGTGGTGCTCATCATACTCCCCGACCTTAAAATCATCCTGCAAAATTAACCATACATAATTAATCACTAATCATGATAAATTCATATAATCACATGAACTTGTACAGTCAGTGAGCGTTTATAGTTTATACCATGCTGATATTGTTAGTCTCCCAACGGTCATGGTGGTCTTCGCGGAGATGGGGCTCAATCTCCGCGAACCTGGCTACATTCAACCAAGCACTCAACCTTCTCTTCCTCAAGTTTCTGTACAATTAAGAGGTCCTACGTGTCTAAGTACTCCGAGAAACCATCGCCCTAGATTCCTACAGCTTTGAGCTCAGTTTGGGAACTGCGTAAGGAGACATAGCCGCGAGTAAAGAGCACATAGCCATTTCTGGTTTGGATTATCTTCGATTTTGTGGCCGTTGTGCAACGCTCAAATACACGCTTTTCTCTTAATGGTAAAGCATGCCATAAGTCATTGCCTTAATATAAACTAACGGAGTTAGGTATTTATTTTTTAGTTTAACCACGGAAATGATTTTTATACGCTAATTTTCATCTCATGGCTCATGCTCACCATTTTAATTCTGGCTCTTGATCATTCTTTATTTGTTCAATTAAATGACGAAAAAATTGAAAAGTGTAAGTGTTGAAAAAATGTGTGCATAACCTTTTTATGTCTATTTATTTCTATTATTCTACACCAGATTCAATTAAAATATGAAAAAAAAGAAGTCAAACTTGAATGCGGAAAAGAGAAATATAGCTAGCTTGACTAAATTCTGTCCGCTAAAGATTTATAGTTAGCTTCTTTGGTGAGTAGAACATGACATAATTAGTCGTTATTGGATTTTACCCTACATGGTCACCTAGGACGGAGTCCTTAAGCATGGCCGCAGAGACTAGAGAATCATAGAAAAATGGTGTACTATTGAAATAAAATGAGCAGTGCATTATTAAGCAGAACCACCTCGGCTTGGTGCGTCACCTTGCTTCGTCCTATTCCAAGATTCCCTCCTCCTCCACTTCGATTTTATATCACATTCCCACTCTTCTTCTCACCCCGAGGAGCAGCAGTTGCAGACCCTTTTGCTATTTTCTCACTACGTAAGCTCTCTCTCTCTCTCTCTCTCTCTCTCTCTCTTCCCCACACCCCCCCCCCCCCAAAAAAAAAAAAAAAAAAAAAATCTATGCACTGTTGACTTTTAGTCGTCGAATCCAAGTGTTTGTGCTAAACTGCTTGATGGGTATCTGTTATTTCTTCCTTTCTTACTTTCTTCATCTCACTTTGCTCGGTGCTTTGATTCATTTGTTTTTGGTGGCATAGAGTGGAACGTTTTGAATTGAATTACATGTTTGTTTGAATTCTTGAACTAGCGTGCGATTATGAATGTTAATCAGGAGTTACCAATCAAAATTATCTTAGTATATTGTCGCTGGATTGATGGAATGGGCATATAAAAAAACTAGAAAAGGATCATTGGTTTTGGACATAGAAAAAGATTCCGACTTTAACCCACATTGCTGGAATTCGCGAGTACCCTTTTTACTTGATGGGATCCCAATGATGGGTATGAAATTTGATCTCGGAAGTGTAAATTGAATTTCAGTAATTTCCGTGACCGCAAAGAGGCCTTAAGATTTTCTTGTAGCCGAAACTCTTACAAGTGCTATGTGGTAGTATCGAATATGTGAGTTAACTATTTGCCAATTCCAAGTTATGTAGAACTATAATCTGAGGTGGCAGATTGACTTGAAGAAATTTCACATAGCTGTTATTGACGTTCATCACAATAATCAAAAGTACCATCTTTTTCATGTAAAGTAGAATTTGAGGTGGCGGATTGCTTGTTTCTGTTACCATACATCAGCTGTATTCGGTTGACGAAAGAATGACATGCTAATACTCATTTGTTTCATTAAAAGAACAAGAAAATATAGTTTCTTTTTTCTCTTTCGTTCTAGGAGATTATGCCTTTTTTTTATATGACCAATGCTTCTGACCCTTTGAGTTATGAGCTACTACATACTTTCATTGCTCCTTTGTGATCATATATTGACAATATCTTCTGTGCAATCTACTCCGTAGTAAAATATTGTCTACACTTTTAGCCATGGGCAGTTCTAAAGATGGTCCATTGAAGGAGACGCCTCTGGGGTTAGATGCAACAACTGAGGAAGAATATGCATCACAGTCTAGGTTACTTCAAGACTTCACCAGTATTTCCAGCATTGACAAGGCATGGACTTTTAAATCTGACAGCGGTATGATTTCTCATTCTTCTAACATGCACGTCCTTATTCTTAGATTACGCACAACAGATTCATATGTATGTACATTACATGCGTAAGGAAATATATAAGCATATATACCTCCTCTCTAATTGAAAGCCAAAGACTTTTTCCTAATGAGGATGTGCACATTAAACTTTGTTTCAGGAATTGAGTCTCGGGCAATGTTTTCAATTAGTCAACCGAATCTTTTGGCAAACAAGAGGAAGAAATTCATTCTATCCTCTCATATTTCAAGAGAAAGTAACAATTCTATAAACTTCCACTGGTCCCCATTCCCTGTTGAGATGATGGGAGTCTCTGTATTTGTTCCATCCCCGTCCGGTGCAAAGCTTCTTGTAGTTCGGAATCCCGAGAATGAATCTCCCTGTAAATTTGAAATTTGGGGTCAAGGTCAAGTGGAGAAAGAATTCCACATCCCCCAATCTGTTCATGGTTCAGTATATGCTGATGAATGGTATATATCGTGAATGCATTCTTTCCATGCATGATATTTGATGTTAGCCTTGTGTACTAGATGCTTTTTTCCTTATGTCTTTGGTGATAGTGGTAGAACTTCAAACTTTCAATGATACAGGTTTCAAGGAATTTCTTGGAATGCTGATGAAACTCTCATTGCTTATGTTGCTGAGGAACCAGCTCCCTCCAAGCCCACATTTACAGGTCAGGGCTACAAGAATGTTAGTTCCACTGATAAGGACTTTGGTAACTGGAAAGGTCATGGGGATTGGAAGGAAGAATGGGGGGAAACGTATGCTGGAAAAAGGCAGCCTGCACTTTTTGTCATCAATATTAACAGGTCTTGTACAATTGGTTTAGTTTCTATTAGTACCAGGATAAGAAGTAAGGAGATTTCTCGTTTAAATTCCCAGCTAACTTTAATTATCCGATGTTGTACAGTGGAGAGGCCGAAGCTGTCAAAGGAATTGAAAAGTCTTTGAGTGTTGGTCAAGTTGTATGGGCGCCACCAGTTAAAGGCTCACAACAATCTTTGGTTTTTGTTGGGTGGTCTGAAGGTATCAGAAAGCTGGGTATCAAGTACTGCATTAATAGGCCCTGTGCATTGTATGCAGTCAGGGCACCAAATTGTGAATCAGAAACCGATGGATCTGAACTCAAGTGAGTTGCTTTGTGTAATACTTTTTGTTGCCTTTTGTTTTTTTGATCTTTTGCTTGTTAATTGTTTTGGAGGTTCTCTGTGCTTCTACATTTGATATTAAGTATTGATCTCCTTAACTGTTCTAGAGCTAGTTCAACTGAAGATTTTCCTGCTGTAAAGCTGACTCAAAGCATAAGTAGTGCTTTGTATCCACGGTTCAGGTAATTTTTTCCCCCATCTGACACTTAGGTCTTTGTTTGTGTGCACTTCAGTCTATGATATATTTTATGTGCAGTGCTTGTATAGATTTTTGATAACTCCTTATAAATATCTGTCTACTGGAGAATTACTTGTATGCTTTCGAGAACTACACAAGCGAAAATTAAAGTTTTTGGAGTGTTCGAGAACTACTGGAGAATTATTTGTTGCCTCTCTTTCAATTTCACAACGGAAATTGATATCTAAAGTAAATACTAATTGGAGTTTGATGAACATTAGAATCGGAATTGTACTATTCTACTATTGTTTCCAACATTATCCAATAGATGGCTGATTGATTCAAATATCATGTGCGATTACTGATTCTGATTGTATTTGAAACATGGTCAATGTAATTTTTGCAGCCCAGATGGAAAATTCCTTCTGTTTATATCAGCAAGAAGTTCTGTGGATTCTGGGTCACATTATGCAACAGATTCTCTTCACAGAATAGACTGGGCAGTCGATGGAGTGCTATCCTCATCTGCAAAAATTGTTGATGTGGTGAGCTCATCAGCTTTTATTTTTCTGTTGGGTAATCAACATTTTATTTTCTGATTGATAATTTGAAACAACTTAGTTGTGTGCAATTCTTTATTCGAGTCCTGGGGGTATGTAAATTAGGAACGAAGGTTCATTTGTTAGGATGTGGATATAAGTAAGCATTAAGCGTTTTCCTTGTAAAAGTGCAAACTCGTACAAATTCGCATTCCTGAACTTTTAGGATTGAAAATCGTGGTTCACTTACTTGTTTTGGTTGGCCAAACAATGTGCTGTTTGCTATTTGCTAGTTACTATACCAGTGGTATGTACTGCTGTAAATTTGGAATTTGATGTTGTTATCATACACACTGAGGGTGAACATTCAATATATATAAATTTCCCTTTCCCTGTTTTCTTCTCCCCTCTCTCCCCACAATATTTTTTTTTTTTTTTTTTTGTGCATGGTAATTTTGTGTATGGGTAGCTTCACATTGATGCTTTATTGGTTAATTTGTATATGATCCTAAAAAATGTGCTTTTCTTGAAAAAGGGGAGGGGACCACAATTGAACTCTAGCTTAATTATCTTCAACAAAAGGTTTTCATTTCATGGAGGTGACATCACAGAACATAACAATAGAAGTTTAGAACATTTTGTATGATATTGTCTCTCTTAATCCCTCTCCATGCTTTATAAGTACAACTAAATACACTTCTTTTTTGAAGATTCCTGTTGTAATGTGTCCTGAGGATGGTTGCTTCCCTGGGCTTTACAAGTCAAGTATCCTTAGTAATCCATGGCTTTCTGATGGATGCATGATGATCATATCTTCCATCTGGGGTAGCTGTGAAGTGATACTTTCTGTGAATGTTTTGAGGTAATTATAGTGGCCAATCATGTGCACAGCGTGTTTACATTTTAACTGTTTACAACTGACCTCTGGTATTTACATGGTAGTACAGTGGGGAAGTATCACGTGTCAGCCCTGCTGATTCAAATTCATGGAATGTTCTTACACTGGATGGGGACAATATCATTGCTGGTAACATAAACTGCCATTTTTACTGATAAATACTTGGAAACATCTACCGATCAATACTGAAATTTCACTTCATCCTTGATTTCTGAAGTGTCTAGCAGTCCAGTAGACGTGCCTCATATCAAGTATGGTTACCTTGTTGATAAAGAAAGTAAAAGTACCGCATGGAGTTGGTTAAATGTATCAAGCCCCTCAAGTGAATGCTCTGAGAAGGTCCATCTATCTGCTTTTCTATATTTCCACATATCATGATTATCTTCAAGCTTACATCTGTTTTACTCATGTTTCAACTTGAGATAGGTTAAATCTTTGCTCTCCTCTCTTCAATTCAGTATACTGAAGGTTCCTGTCAGGCATGTTTCTGGTAGCGTAACAAAAGGTATGATGAACCAATTTTCTATCTGGTGTGTCAAAAAATAATTGATTTTAACATCCTGTATCTGCTTAAACCCTTTCAGGTGCCGCCAAACCATTTGAAGCTATATTTGTGTCTTCCAAAACTAAAAGAAATGATTCGTTGGACCCATTAATTGTAATCCTCCACGGAGGCCCGCACGATGTGTCAGTGTCAAGCTTTTCAAAGTCCTTTGCTTTTCTCTCTTCAATTGGGTTCAACCTGTTACTTGTAAATTATAGGTATGATTGTGATTTTTCATACCACGGTCAAAGCTTTGAATTGTGCAGCTAAATGTACTTGATGTTCAACCAAATTGTGGTTCAATTTTGTTGTTTAGATGTTATATTATGCAATTGTTCTGACATGTTAGTTTATCTCAGAGGTTCACTGGGGTTTGGGGAAGAAGCACTTCAGTCCCTTCCAGGGAAAGTTGGGTCCCAGGTGCTTACCTATACATATTTACCTTCTATTTGTTTTATAGCAATCTTAATTTTGTTATCCGATTGGCATTGTTCCTTACGGGAGCCTACATTATACCACCTGTTTGTTTAGGTAGACTCCTACATTTTGGTGTCATACACACAGATATAAGCACTTCTGGTGTAAATATATCTGTATATGCTCATGTATGCTAAGAATTTAATGTTGTTAATATACCTGTGTAACTAGTATTTACTTTATGTATCTGCTTTTGTACTTAAAGACCCCAATCTCTCAGTTTATTTGCTACAGGACGTGGATGATGTACTGGTGGCTATAGATCATGTCATTGACATGGGACTTGCCAGTCCTTCAAAAATTGCAGTTGTTGGTGGTTCTCATGGCGGCTTTCTAACAACTCACTTGATTGGCCAGGTTTGGTAGTTCTTTAGAAAGCATGACTGTTATTTTTTTAGTTCTTTGAGGCGCATGTGGAGATTGAATCCCACATTGATGGAAGGAGGGACCTTGCATGGGCATATAAATAAGTTGGGTTACTCCCCGTATTGCCAATTATTTTTATGGTGGAACCTCAACTTTCTTCACTTAAAGCTTTATTCTTTTTCTGTGGGGTACTAAATAGATTTTTATTTTCCTATTGAAGCATCTATTACTTATGCACGCTTGGTAGATGAGTTCTTTTTAAGTTATTCTTGACAGTTGAACAATATTTAATGCCGCAGGCACCAGATAAGTTTGCTGTGGCAGCAGCAATGAACCCTGTCTGTAACCTCGCATTAATGGTCGGTACAACAGACATCCCTGATTGGTGCTATGTGGTGGCCTATGGAAGTGAGGGTAAAAATTACTACACAGAAGCACCGTCAGCTGAGCATCTGACTCTCATGCACAGCAAATCTCCTATTTCACATGTTTCAAAGGTGGGTGCTTGGTTAAAGCTTCTTTTCTGTTACCATATTATTAGCTTACCCTGAAGTTTGAAGATTCTTATACAAATATTTTCAAGGACGGAAAGTTTACTTACAGATTTAAAAGCAACAAAGTCAACACAGTCGTTCTCCCAACATTGATTAACTACATGCACATTCACCTTTAAGCAACTAAATAGATATCATAGCTGCAACCACAACCATACTTACTTCTACCTGCAGTGACACTGGTAAAGGCTAACAGGCGAGTAGCATGATGTTTTATATTTGCACAGGCAAGCTGTGTATTCTCAGTGCAGGATATCAAGCAAAATATAAATGGAACTAAAGAGAAACAGAAAAGAGTGAAAAATGGGTAATTCTTTATAAGCTTAATAGTCTTGGAAGGGGTCATGATGAATGTGAAGGTTTAATTCTTGAGAGTGGCTAATTCAAGGGAATCAATTCCGAGGGTTTGGATTGTATCCAGATCTTCCCTCCTAGGATCACTGTGGTTGGTCCAACGCTGCGATTGCTATTTCTAACTTTTTGAAGGATCTTATCTGCAGGTTAAAACACCCACCCTTTTTCTTTTGGGTGCTCAGGATCTTCGTGTTCCAGTTTCTACTGGATTTCAAGTAAGTACATGTTCTCCTAATGAACTACGCCTTTTCTTAATAGTTTGACAACAAAAACCAGTGCTTGGATAATTGTTCTTCTTGGCTGCATTGCAGTAGAAAATGATTTAATGAAGCACAAACACAAAAAACAATTGGAATCTATAAACTTGATTCTGTTAGATTTCATCTTTGAAATTGATTTCCTTCCTCTCAACTTCTCAAGGGGGTGTGATGATTTTGACTCAGACACTTACATGATTGGAATGATGTGAGTTGAAAACTGATTCGGGTATTTATTATTCGTAGTATGCTAGGGCGCTGAAGGAAAAAGGAGTTCCTGTCAAAATCATTGTGTTTCCTCATGATGTTCATGCAATTAAGAGGTAAACTTATGCTCCAAATGAGCTAGTGCATTGTAGCATTGTAGTCACCAGTCACTACAGCCAAGGTCATAAAGTTTCATGCTTGGATTCCATCTGATACGAATTTGTGTTTGCAGACCACAATCCGACTTTGAGAGCTTTCTTAACATTGGTGTCTGGTTCAAGAAGCATTTATCGTAAATGAACAGCCATTTCTCCCCTGATTTTACCCCTATAGTTTGACTTCAAGAGCTTTTGTAAGATGGTTGATTTATGGGCAGTGCAAATCAATCTGCAATGTTGTTTATTAGAGTTATAGTCGAGTAGGTTGAATCCACCTTGAACGTGTAAGGTCGTCTGCCCATGCCTTTGCTCAGCATGTATAATCTTCAATCTGAATGAAAAACTACCTACTTGAAAACTTATGATTATTGATTTCAATAATAGAACTTCAACTCAATTGTTATATAATATTGTTTTGGCTTACATGTCATGTTTGGCACTTGTGTTTTTTATTTGTCTAATTTAGCCCTTAACACTCTTTCATTCTCTCTTTTGTACTTTTCAATTCTTTTTACTACCCTGAACAAAAAATTTATTTACGCTTTACAAAAAGTTAAAAAAAAAAAAATTAATTTAATAAGACAGGAGTGCTGCAAGAGTTCTCGACGTTTATAAGATTTTTTTCTAAAATTTTAAATAATTTAGCTTTCTTCAATATCTTACTCAAACCCATTATGTTAGCATTCCACAGTTCACATCACTTGAATCCTAATGTTGTCAAATTAATTTTATCTAATGTTGTCAAACTAAATATTTATTTGAATTCAGGTTAGGCACAATTTTTTTCCAACCTCACAATGTTGGAAAGTCATCAACACTTAGGTTGAATACTCATTAATTAAGCATGCAATGAACATAAATTGAATGACTACAAAAATCTAAGCCATGCTAATCATACCATACAATTCATACAAAACAAATGGTGTTCAAATTTTGATGGGTTGGGTGGACCCGTATAATACGATATTTCCCACCTCGGTATTTGGATGCTCCGAACTCCCATTTCCGAAAAGGATATTACGCGCTGCTGGTGTGCCTATAACTTTCTGCACATTCTCTAAATTTCTATCCATGTCATTCTCCTGAAATTCGAGGAAAAGCTATAATATGATTCAGTTTCTGTGAAAGCAATGTTTCTGAAGCTGCAGTTGGACACCAGTTGCTTCCCAATTCTGGGTTCCATAAAAACGTCGCCCAACGCAGGACGCTCTCCACTGGACAAACTCGAACTCATAAGCAACGATAGGAAACAGAGAGTGGTTCAGAGTCCCAATGGAGGAGGAGGGCTGAAGAAGAAGTTGGGTGAAGTTCATCGACCCACAAATGGCAGGCGTGGAAATGGCGTCGTTGTTCATGAGGTCGAGCTGAAAAAACCCAGTTTTGTGAAGAACCCAGGTGGGGAGAAGACGAAAAACGTAAAGAGTACTGGCCGTTTTGCGAAAAGTGGAGATATTGATGGTGGGTTGAGAGTTGGGGATGGGAATGGAGTGGTGAAGAAAGTGCACTCCAGGTGTTCGACCAAATGCGTCAGTTACGGAGGTTGTATTCCTGCAATTTTGAAGGCTTTGGATGAAGTTGAGGATTTGGATGAGGCTCTGAGGCCGTGGGAAGATAGGCTTACAAACAAGGAAAGGAGTATAATTTTGAAGGAGCAGGTGTGTTGGGAAAGGGCTTGGGAGGTTTTTGAGTGGTTTAAGAGAAAGGATTGTTATGAGGTGAATGTGATTCACTATAATATAGTGCTTAGAATTCTTGGGAAGGCGAGGAAGTGGAGCCGTGTCGAGAGACTTTGGGATGAGATGAAGGTTAACGGAATAGCACCGATAAATTCAACTTATGGAACTTTGATTGATGTTTATAGTAAAGGCGGGCTTAAAGAAGAAGCACTTGTTTGGCTGGACAAGATGAACGAACAAGGAATGAAACCGGATGAGGTTACCATGGGGATTGTCGTTCAATTGTATAAGAAAGCGAGAGAGTTTCGAAAAGCTGAGGATTTTTTCGACAAATGGTCGTTGAGCGTATCTTTGAGACAAGAACAAGAGGGCACCTCTACAACAAGTGCTTCTGGATTGCAGAGCTCTTTGCATTCTCACGTTTCTTTGAGCTCGCATACATACAATACATTGATTGACACATATGGAAAGGATGGCCAACTTAAACAAGCATCTAAAATATTTGCAATGATGCTTAGGGAAGGGATTGCTCCAACTACAGTTACTTTCAATACAATGATTCACATTTGTGGTAACCATGGCCGGCTGGAAGAAGTTGTTTCCCTTATGCAGAAGATGGAAGAGCTTCGATGTCCACCTGATACAAGAACATATAATATTCTAATTTCCCTCCACGCAAAGCATAACAATATAGACATGGCGACAAACTACTTCACAAACATGAAGGAGGCTCACCTTGAGCCAGACCCTGTCAGTTACCGCATCCTTTTGTATGCATACTCAATAAGGCACATGGTCAGCAAAGCTGAAGTCCTCATATCAGAGATGGATGAAAAGGGTTATGAGATTGATGAGTTCACTCAGACAGCTCTGACAAGGATGTACATAGATGCCGGGATGCTTGAAAAGTCATGGTTTTGGTTCATGAGATTTCATCCTTCAGGGAAATTGAGTTCTGAGTGCTGTGCTGCCAACATTGATGCATATGGAGAGCGTGGCCATATTTTGGAAGCTGAGAAAGTCTTCATTTGCTGCCTAGAAGCAAAGAAATTGAGTGTCCTTGAGTTTAACGTGATGATTAAAGCTTATGGGGTGGGGAAACAGTACGGTAAAGCATGTCAGCTGTTTGATAGCATGAAGAGTCATGGCGTAGTTCCGGACAAATGTAGCTACAGCTCTCTGATACAAATTTTGGCTAGTGCTGACATGCCACATATAGCAAAACCCTATCTCAGGATGATGCAGGAGGCAGGATTGGTAAGTGATTGCATCCCGTATTGTGCTGTGATATCAAGCTATGCAAAATTAGGAGAACTGGAAATGGCAGAGGAACTATACAAAGAGATGGTCAGATTCAATGTTCAGCCGGATGTTATTATCTTTGGGGTGTTGATAAATGCTTTCGCTGATATTGGAAGTGTTAAAGAAGCTCTGAGTTATGCTGATGCAATGAAAAAGGCAGGCTTGCCTGGGAACTCGGTGATTTACAACTCCTTGATCAAGCTCTATACTAAAGTTGGCTTTTTGAACGAAGCAGAAGAAACGTACAGACTTCTTCAATCATCAGAGGATGGTCATGCTATTTATGCTTCAAATTGTATGATTGACCTTTATAGCGAGCGATGTATGGTTGAGCCAGCAGAAGAACTCTTTGATAGCCTGAAGAGCAAGGGAGCTGCAAATGAGTTTACGTACGCAATGATGTTGTGCATGTATAAGAAACTGGGGAGGTTTGAGGAAGCCATTCAGATCGCAAAGCAGATGAGAGAACTGCGACTTTTAACTGATTTGCTCAGTTATAATAATGTGCTTGGGCTGTATGCGATGTATGGAAGATTCAAAGAGGTAGTGGCAACTTTCAAGGAAATGATAAAAGCTTCCGTTCAACCTGATGATTGTACATTCAAATCACTTGGAATTATTTTGGTGAAATCTGGGATTTCAAAACAGGCTGTCGGCAATCTGGAAGTATCAGTGAAGAAGGATGCTCAGAGTGGTTTGCGAGCGTGGATTTCAGCCCTCTCATCTGTCGTGAGATTAAATGAAAGTAATTATCTGTAGATACACTCTGCGAAGAGTGTTTTGAATACTCACCAGGCATTATAGTCCAATTCCTTGCTGATTAATGGAATTCAGTGAGGGAATTGAGCTGTGGAACTTCAGGTGTAGAAGTTGAATTATTTATGCAAAGTTACAACCGATGTCCCACTCCACGGTGCTGAGAAGGGAGATGATAACTTTGACAAGATGAAAATGTAGATCACATTTCGGTTCACGGGCAAGAGACGTGATCCTGTATAGAGCCGATTGCTCGGAACAAGAACCGTATAGCCAACTCTGCAGGAGCAAGTCCTTGAACCAAATTGAAGATTATGTAACATCCTTGTATGACCAGCTGTGACTCTTGAATATATGTATTGGAAAGGTTGTAATGTGCTCTTCTAATCATCTGTGGGTGTTGTGAAAAGAAGAGCAACGAAATTGTCAGGTTTTGTGTAATTGCTTTTGTTTATTGAATATTTACTAAGCACAAGGCAGAAGTTTCCTAATTTCTTCTCAAGTTCACCCACCACAGGCTTTGCAAACATAGTATCTCTTACTTAAACTTGATTAGGCCAGTCGGTGATATTCAAGTTTGAATTCTCATTCTCAAAAAATTATTGAAGTTGTGTAGAATATTATATTTGTACTTGATGACTAATAACGTTAGTAAGAAACGCTAAAAAAGTCAAACTACATAAACAAAATCCTTGCATGTAGTGCAATAGTATTTGATCCAGGTTTATTTGTTATTTCCAAATGGATATCCATACGTCCGTTTGATTCAACATTTTGTTATTACTTTTTACTTTTTCTGCTTGAGATGTGGAGGATTTATAAGGATAAATAAATGATGAAAAAGGTGGTGGGAGTGAGAACGTGAGAGGAAGAAATAAAGATGAATAAATGAAAACAAATATTGAAAATGAAAACAGTTTAAAATAAATTTTTATTTTTTATGGTTTTAATTTTCATTTTGTGTTCCTTTTACCATGTATTTTCCTCTCTCTCTCTCTCTCACATAAAAAAATCAAACAATAAAAAATAAAGATATTACTACATTCTTTTGATAAATACTTAGTGGGGATTTATGTATGAAGAACTTTCAAAACAAAAGTGTTATGCATAGTCACTCACCTTTAAATTTGATATCTAAAATAAGTAAAATGTCACTTTAGGGTGCGTTTGTTGCACCGGATTATCTTGGATTGGACTAGCTTTAGGGACTAAGCTAGACTAGCTTAGACCAGACTAAGTTGGACTGATTTAGTGAAGCGTTTGATGCAGTGTCGGATTAAGAAGCAAAATAATTAATAAATTTTAATATTATATTTGTTTAATTCGTAAAAATTATATTATATTATTAATTTATCTTTTTCTTTTTGGAAATCTCTTCCTATCTGGAAACTTCTACCATTTTTTTCTTCTTCCTTCCCACTCTCTCACTCCCCTCTCCCTCATTTTCTTCCCTTTTTTTCTCCGGCCCATCGTTTTCTTCTTTCTTCCCACTCTCTCACTCCCCTCTCCTTCATTTTCTTCCTTTTTTTTTCTCCGGCCAACCATCTCCCTCCTCTCTCTTTTTCTCCCCCATTTCTCCCAGTTTTCTTCCTCAAAGGAGGATTTGTGCATTTTGTTCCTCAAAGCAGAGAGAGCACTGCAAATTCGAAATCACATATCAAATTTCTACTATAATTTATGTTTTACAACTCCAAATTTGGTTTTGTTTTTTCCTCCAAATTTCTGGAGAAGAGCACTGCAACCCAAGGTAATATATTTTTGGGTTTATCAAAGATTTTGATAATTGGGATTTTGATATTTTCTGTAATTTGAAATCGCATATCACAGATTTTTGGGTTTATCACAGATTTTGATTTCGTTTTTTCCTACAATTTTTTGGATAAGAACAACCTTTAATTGGGGTTAGATTCGTGGGAGGGAGATGGAACCGAAATCTCGTACCCCGATTTTTTATGCTCCTCTTGTCGCAAAGCCACGGCGACTCCATTATTCTCTCTTTTTATCTCTTTGATAGACGTTTCTAACTTTTCTGGGAGAGGAAATATGGCAAAGCTCAATTGGGATTTCTGGGAAGGGAAGGACGGCGAAGCAGGGAGGGGTGAAGCGAAGCACATATGAGAGGAAGTGGGGAGGGGTGAAGCGAAGCACAGATGGGACGAAGCAGGGACTAGCAGTCCGCTCCTTTTCGGGGGTCTTGCTAATACCCCCTAGCGAGCATTTTTTTGGAGCGAGTGAGACTTAGTCTCATTAAACCTAGTCCCCTGTCGGGAATAACCATGGGACTGGACTAACCCTTAGTCCAGTCCAGTACTCTTTAGTGAGGGCAAACACCCCTTAGTGTTTTAATCGCAATCATTGGTATCAAATTTAAAAACCAATAACTATGAATCTTGATTACCAAGTGACCAAGAAAACGAAATTCTCTTTTAAAATATTAATCAGCAGGCAGAAGTTTATTTGGGTTTTAATCTCATAGTATTATGGATTCGAGATACATGTAAATATTGGATCATCAATGTGGATCTCTAAAAAAAAATAGTAAGAATACAACAGTCATTGTATACAATTATGTGCATGCATAATGTGACAGCCCGTCCCGAGAACATTGTAAACGTACGCGTGAAAAGACGGTTTTGCCCCTAGTGCGTTTTCTTTTCGTGTTGTGGTTGCTTTGGGTTTTGTTGGCATGTGTGGAGCCACACACACACTCCCACACTTCCCACCTGTCCCTGTCCCTTTCCCTGTGTTCCTCCGAGCCCCATTTCTCTTCCTCCCCCTTTAAAAATGTACGGCACACACCCAAAACCATTCAAACCTTTGCAGATCGAAGAAACAAAATACATATCCATGCTCGTGAGGCTCGTACGAGTCCAACCATACCATTTTCAGGTAAGAACTTCAATGTTTTCACGTCGATTTCACAATGGCCGATTTGGGGTACTGTTCATGCACACGTGATTTCTCACGTTTTAGGAAATTTGAAGCTTGTAGATAGCTTGGTGAGGTCCCAAGGAGGCTCGGAGTGGTTCGTTTGGTGAATTTGGACGTCGGGATCGTTGGTTTAGAAGTTGGCCGGAGTTGGGTGGTTTGGACAGGTGAGATTCCATGGTTTTTAGGCCTTAAAAGTTGTATATTTATGTTCTCCTAGTCTTAGGCTTCATTTTGGTGCAAAAATCACGAAAAATGGTTGAAAAACGAAAGAGAAATCGAAGTTTGAAAATTTCCCGGTTTTCCGGCGCCGGCAACGGCGTCGGAGTCTCGCAGGAGAAGGTGACGGAATATTCCTGACGCCGTTAACGGAATCTGTCAAAACTGACGGAATATTCCTAACGGCGTCAGTTGACACCGTCCGTGTGCACCGCACGTGCCTGCGCGTGGCCAGCGCGTGGGGGCGCGTGCGGCAGTGAAAAATTTTTCTAAAAATTCTGATGTGTTCCTGAGGTTGTGTAGAGCACGTTGGTATATTCATTTGTCCATTTTGAGCAATGTATGAGAAGTTATTACAAGAAGTTGGTTATGTGCTTTAAAATTAACGTTTTTATAGTATTTTCGCATATAGGTGATACGTATCCCGAGGACGAGCGTGCTCACTCGAGGCAGGGGGCTACGACCCTTCCACATACCAGTGAGTGGGCTTTTGGTTTTCCATATATACCTATATACTATTGTTTTCCCAGAAATTGATATAAATGTTATTAGTTATATGCCATGTGTTATATTATCGTTCTTTATGCATCATTAGTGGCTTTATTAATTGTATATATATACGTATGCATAATTGGTGCTGTGGATGCATAGGTAAGTGCCAGGTAAGCGTTAATTCTTATTTGCATTCATTAGTGATTAGAGGTACTTAGAGAGCTCATAACCTGCACCCCCGGTGTTAGTGCTCCCGCCCAGAGTAGGGCACAGTCCTTCATGTGTTGTTCACCTCCCGCACCATACGCTCAGCTTGGATCCAAGTTAGGTGCATAGCCCTGTCGTACAGACCACTTTAGGTGGTTCCGACTCGTAGGTGACCTGCGATTATTCGCACAGCCTTCACGTGATCGTAGCACTAGAGCGTTTATATGTATTACACCCAGGCCTGTCGTACAGACCACTATAGGTGGTTCCGACTCGTGGGCAGGTTTCGTTATTGTGATTGAGATTTGAGCTCTAGATGCAGCCGTACAGGTCACGTTAGGCGACTCCGGCTGCCAGATTATATGTTATTGATGTGATTTATACCTGAGCACTTGCATTTCATTCTGAGATTTCGACATGGCATATTATGGAGCATGATTGGCATATCTATATATACGAGCATATGTTTATTTTCTGGGAAGTATACAGGTTTTTACGGTGATGGATTAGAATATTGTTTTTGAAATGATTTTCGAAAAGCTTTGTTTTTGCCCACTCACGCTTTTGTTTTGCACCCCTCCAGGTTCTAGTTGCTAGCAGGTTCGGTGGTTTCCCAGAGGGCTTTCCGGCATTTCTGACAGACACTCACCAATGTAGGGTCACCTTCGGGTGCACTGTTGTCGTATCATTTTAATTTGGACTGCTGTAGACTTAATGCTCTAAACTTAGCGTCTCACTTACGCTAGCACTCATTACTTTTATCGTTTGTATGCTAGTTTTTAATTATTCGTACTTTTATATTACTCTATATTAGCTTCCGTACGTGCACATGGCTACGTCACTTCCACGTGACGGCCAGCACGCCCTGATCTCGGTCGGGGTGTGTCACATAATGCATGTGTTTTCAAATTTTCTTGGCCTAATTTTGAATATCGTATGCTATAGTTTTTTTTAATGTACAAGGCACAAATGTAATTCTACACAAAAAGCGGTAGTAACCTTCTTACTTACTTTTTTATTTTAACCTTTTTAATTCTCTTAGTGTCATGTGTATCCTACTCAGTGGCGGATCCCCATTTTTTAACTCGGAGGGTCCTATTAATAAAGGTCAAAAAATTTATAGACAAAAATAACATTGAAAATATGGTCCTTTTGTTTTGAGCATGAACTACCTGAACAAATAAATGGTCCTATTGGCTGTGGCTTGAAATTTTTTTTCCATATTTCTTATTTCTAAACTACATATTTAACAAAAAACACAAAACATATACCAATTAACCAATAAACAAAAATTCCATATTTCTTATTTCTAAACTACACATTTAACAAAAGATACAAAACATATACCAATTACCCAATAAACAAAAATTTCATCTAAATTCTAATCATCAAATGAGTATAAACTTAAAGCATATCAACAATCATATCAATAATAGACTAAAAATCTTCATTAATATCTAAATAATTTAATTGAGATTAGATTAGAATACCAAAAAACTTACTTGAATTGTGAACCAAATAGTGGTGGCCTAGAGATTTGGGGAGGTATGATATTAGAGTAATAAAATTATAATACGAGATTGGGTGTGGGCTTTAGAATTTTAGGGTTTTGAAATCTGAGGAGTTGGGGATTGGAAATGGGATAAACATGTTAAAGTTGGGCCTTGGGGAAGCAGAAGAGAAATTTGGGTGAATATGTTATTGGGCATTGGGGGAAGCAGAAGAGCGGGAAACGGTGGAAGGGTGGGACAGTGGGGAATGATGTGGGTTGGGGGTGGGATTTAAAATAATGGACAAACACTTCGGGTGGGATTTAAAAAAACAATTTAAAACAATTGGCCAAAACACTATCGTTTTGGGCCAATTATTTTCTTTCTTCTTCGGTCATCTACTCTGACAAGAAGATGTCGTACCTGCAACCTGCACTGCACGAGGGGTTCCCCGGAAATTTTCTGGCAGCGATTTAGGGTCACCAAAGGGTCTTGGGACCTCCCAGGTCCCCTCTGTGGATCCGTCACTGATCCTATAACACTTAAAACCTAAAATTCGCCACTCAGTACTACGGTTTGGTGATATTCCTCTTCACTTGGAAGTGAGAGATCCTAAGTTCGAATCTCGTGGATAGCGAATTCGATACCAAATTAGGTTGCCCATTGTGTGGCTACTAATTTTCTTCTTTTGTTATTAATAATTCAAATTTTAGTTTGTTGGCAAAAAAATAATTAAATTTGGTAGTTTTGCATGCTAGCGAAATACGTGACATGGATAAAAATGAAAATGTTGAAACGAGAAAATAAGTGAGAGTGTTTGCTTGGTTGCCTACAACTACTGCCCACTGGTTCTTTCCTCTTATTTATTAAGCCAATAAGGAGGCGATTAAGAAATGAATAATAATTCGATTTGAGTTGGCATCATATATTGGGAAGTAGCAAATGTTGCAAATGATACGACAAAATACAACAAACGAGTATAATTTAGCGTTGCGAATCATCGTTGAATCTGTTGCTATGCAACATCGATTCATACGCTATACGAATTTGTGACATACTTAAATCTTAGAGTTTGAAATGACAAGACAGGAAGTTGATTGTGAAATGATGAAAACTAGCTTTTTGATTAATCATATATCAGTATCGGTACAAACTACAGTCTCTCAACTAATGTACAAGATCCAAAATCATAACCCAACATCCCATCAATAAACAAAAGAATCTAATTCCAACTAAGAAACCACTAATCCGGCGTTAATTAAGCTTAATTATCGATGCCCCTGTCATCGGAAAATGACTTACATAACACCGATACACTGTCATCGGCCTTGGCCTCGTGTGTACAAAGATTAAGGAGTGTATTCAATTAAGATTTTGAAGGATTTTAATTCTTTTAATGAATCTAAAGGCAATCAATCAGGATTTTAAATAATTCTCTAAAATTCAAGATGTATTCAATTAGAACTTTAAGATAGTTTGTTAAACTCTTTAAAAATCCAGATGTATTCAATTAGGATTTTAAAGAAGTTTATAACATTCCAGATGTATTCAATTAGAAATTGATTTTAAAGAATTTGAGAAAGTTAAAGAATTAGAGGGAATTAAAGACATTTTGTAGTGTATTTTAAACATCTACAAATCTCAACTCCTCCCATGAGATTTCAAGGAAATTGAATCAAAATTTTATATAAAATCTCTACAAATCAATTAAACTCAATAAAAACCTATATATTTATAAATCCATTAAAGTTTTTCAAATTCTCAATTAAATACATTCTCATAGACCCGTGTTTAATTTCCTCACAACACACGCAGCCAGCTTAAATCCAAAATAATGTACACCGCCAACATCAAACGACAGCGTTGTGCCACGAAACGACAAGGTTTTCCAACCCAGTTCCCAACTCTTCCCAAAGTCTGACCTCCTTCTCAAACTCAACCACGCCGCCGCCGCCTCCTTCCGCCATCTTCACTTCCCCAACCACCAAACTTGGCGCAATCTCCATTACCTCAACCGCCATTACCACCCTCATCATCGCCCCTTTCCCCATCCCAACATTCACACCGCTCTTCCCTTTCTCCACTCTGTACCCCAGCCTCTTCCCAACCTCCCTCACCTTCTCCACCACCGTATCCGCTCCCGCCTCCGCTGTGAACCGCCTCTCCCTCCGTGTCTCCGCCTCGAAAAGCCCGGAGAGATTCAACCCCGATGACATCGATATTATATCAAACGCATTAATCCCACACGGAACGACGTCGCATTTCTTTACCTCCGCAGCCGGCTCCTCGGAAAGCCTTAAATCAATCGATCTTTTAAACCACGGCTTCTCCATCAACGCCTCGGTCCCCAACCTCGTGTTCGGGTTCGGATCGAGCAGCTGGTATATGATCTTACCCGCCGGCTTCGAAATCCAACCCGGAATTTCGTACTCCCGCCTCTGAACCTTCTTATACATGGCGATCAAATTGCTGTCGTCGAAAGGCAGGCGCCCGGTGAGCAGGACGAAGAGGATGACGCCGCACGACCATGCATCGGCTTTTGATCCGTCGTAGCCGCGCCGGTAAACCACCTCCGGTGCCGTGTACGAGGGGGTCCCACAAGCGGTGTGGAGCAGCCCATCTTTGAGCTGATCGGGTAAGGCGGAGAGTCCGAAATCGGAGACTTTCAAGTTGCCGTTCTTGTCGAGCAAAAGGTTCTGGGGCTTCACATCGCGGTGAGCGACGCCGTTTTGGTGGCAGAAGTGCAACGCCGAGACGAGCTGCTGGAAGTAGCGGCGGGCGAGGGACTCCGGCAATTTACCGTGGCGCGAGAGTTTGGCGAACAACTCGCCGCCCGTGGCGAGCTCGACGACGAGGTAGATTTTGGACTTGGTGGCTAGGACTTCGTGGATTTTGAGGACGTTGGGGTGTTGCTGGAGGCGACGCATGGCGGAGATTTCTCGGAGGATGCGGGGCTCCATGGTTGCGTCAGTTTGGGACTTGTCGATGATTTTGACGGCGACAGCGGTGTTGTCGACGAGGGATTGAGCTTTGTAGACCTTGGCGAAGTTGCCTCGGCCCAACAGCCGGCCCAGTTGGTATTTGCCTAGGAGGGTGGTGGGGGTGGAGGCGGGGGCGGAGGCGGCAGCTGCGGAGGTGCGTGGTGGGGTTGGTGGGACCCCAGGGCCCATGGCTTGTGGGTTGGAGGAAGCAGTAGCAGCAACAGCAGCAACCCAGAAACTGTGAAGAACAATAGCCACTGCTTTCGGAGTTGGGTTTTATTTATGGCGTATTTTTTGGGAGACGACTAGCTGGCTTCTTAATTTGGGTTTCCCAAAATACCCTTTTATGGGTTTGGTCCGTCTTTGTTGGGCAAATATGATCAGTTTTTTATATTTGGTAAAAAAATAATTAAATTTTATCATGTGAGTCAAAAAAATTTTTTAATACATTGATATTTTTTACATTAAAGGGAGGAGAGTTCGATCATTGTCTGAATTAATTAGAAATGTATAGGGTTACACCTTCTTTCGCTGTCGATGAAAATATGAGAATGGGCAAATTGAGCATGCAAGATTCAAAAGAAAATAACTTTCAGATTGGCATATACGGCCACAAACAGGATGTAAAGCGTTATGCAAAAACAATATCAATGGAAAAGGTTAAAGGCATTTCCACTATGCTAAAAGTAATTGGCTTTTTCTCCCTTTTGAAAGCCTTTATATTGGTGCCGACAAACAACCTATGCTTAAAGCCTTAAACAGAAAATTAATTATTTATCCTCCCTTTTAAAAACAGTAATTGGCTTTTTCTCTCTTTTAAATATTTATCTTTAACGTAAGTCGTACTGCTTTTATAATTAGAGTCTTCTTCTTCATTCTGCGGAATCTTGGATTTAAACTTTTTTCAATTAATAATGTTCTTTTAATATAAAATATCGTTGGTAATAAAAAGAATAAAATAATAAAGATGAAAATATATGTCTTTTAACAAGAATCTGGATCTTTGTCGGTTTCTTTTTATAAGGATTTCAGAGATCAGTGAATCATTTTTGTTCATCGTATATCGTACGGTCAAAAATCATTTTAAATATTTTTATTTAAAATTAAGTACAAACAGTACCTGACAAAAACTGACTACAAGATATACGATAAATAGACACGATTTACGAATTCTCAAAATCCTCACTAAAAAAAATCCAGAAAAGATCCTGTTGGATTTAACATGTCACGGACTGGAAAACGAAATGCACCACCTTGGACAATTTACTGGAATCATAATCATGGTCTTTCATGAATCAGCGGTCTATATTTGTTCATGTGCAACTTGGAATTCTACGGTCTAAAAGACAGTCAAATTAAGTGGAAACACGACCTTTCCTGGTGTCGTTTTTGTTCGAAAGTTTCACGGGTCTGGTGGTGCCTGCTCAGTTTAATATTCAACTTAATTAATTGCGTGATCAATTTCATTTCTGTAATGGAGAAAATGGAAAAAGGGCTTTTACGTAATTCAATACGAGGGGCTTTCACGTAATTTACTACGAGGGTCAGAAAACAGCGCACAACACAAGTAATCTGGAAACTGGAAAGCGATGAGTTTGGACACGTTGGGATTTCCCTAGGGCCCTGGGGGTCTGTGGTTGCTTCTGCAAACGAGTAGGATTCTTTCATTTCTTTTTTTTTTTTTTACCTTTTTTGTTTTTGTTTTTTTTCTTTCTATTTGAACGGTCACAGTTAAGCTACGTCAACATCTCATATTAATTTTTTATAGCAAGAGAAAAACAAAATAAGAGAATATGAGAAAAATGAATGAAAGATGATAGAAAGAGGAGGGGAAAGAATCTTAGTGTTCTGCAAACAAGAAAGATGACGTATCCTACTCCTTTCACTCCATGAGTCCACTGGGGAGATTGTTTCTCATATTAAATTATATGCATCCAATTTAACTAAAGTCAAATATGATACAATTCAACTATGTTTTGAATATTTTGACAAAAAAAAAACTATGATTTGAATATTTTGTTTCCACGTTTTATTCGATCAGTTTGTTTTTCATACTTTTATTCACAATTATTCAGAATATTCAACATTAACAAAAGATTGACATATCAATTTCAATCAATTTTAGTTTTTTTTTTTTGTTCTAATATTCAATTTGTTTTAGTGTTACAAAATGGCGACTTTAGGAGCATCAAAACTGTTGTGCTACTTATTGGATCCGGATTCTCTTCTATCCCATTTTTCTTTTTCCTCTAGTCTCCTCTTATTTGAACGCTTACGATTAAGTCACGTCAACATTTTCTGTTGACTTCTTTATAAAAAGATTAAAAATAAAAAGGAAATTGACAGAGAGAGGGAGAGGAGCGGAGGGAATTTGGAGGGACTCCCTCCTTATTTCTAGTGAGATGGCCTTATTTTTTTGTCAACTAAAGGTAGAAACCTTTAATACACGAACAACACAAATTTACAAAACACCGGCCTAAAGACAAAATATACAAGCAAAATTAGACCAGCCAAAAATTACATAAGAAGCCCAGACAAAAGTTGAGCCCAAAACAAACAGAAACGAAAGGAAACCTAGAACACTGCTGCAACAGCTTCCACACTAGCAAATCCTGTCGAATACAATTCAACGCTCCCGACGAAGCATCCCCACTTTGATCGCCTCCACTAGCTGAGAACAGCTCTTTAATCACAACCATAAGCTAGAAAAAACTAACCATGAAGCCTGTGGAAATCCACACGCAATGCTGCAAAAGGTCGAGAGAGAAGGTGGTGATGTTGATAGCACCCAAACCAATGGGAACACCGGAATTCAATACACCGACTCGATTAATTGCAACGAATCGCTATAACAGCAGCTACATATCGAATTGGAATTGACCAGAAAAAGGGATGCCAAAGAATTATGGAGAACAAACTAGAACAAGATTGGGAGGAAAAGGAAAACGTAGCATAGAAACACAAAATAAAAAAAATAGAACAAAAATAGAAAAACTACCACTGATCCTAGCTAGACTAGGGTCAGCGACAACGAAAATGAATGAAGTTGCAACTACTTACACAAGACGATGAGACAGGCTCTCAAGCAAAGAAAATTTCTCTCACAAAGGAGAGGGATGTTACTTGCTGGTAGTGACCGGTCAGAAAGTCATTTATGTAGACATACATAAGTAAATTTGAAGAACAAATTGAAAAACTCCTAAATCCGAATTCCAATTTCATTTGATTAAAAACATGGCAAACATACCATTATTCTATAAAATGTCCATTTTATTAGTAACATCGGGAACACTTCTGCTATTCTCTCCAAAGCAATGCAAAATAATCTAACTACACTCAATAATCTCCGCAAAAGAGTTGTACCTCAATTACTTAAAAAAATTATTATTATATTCGAAGCTTCGAATTTGAGTTCCACTTCCTAATATCATTATACAAAAAAGAACTAGAAAATGAACAATCTTGTAGTAATAGCTAACAGCATCTATTGGGGCGACGAAGACGAAACCAAATTGTGTGTGGCTATAAATAATCATACACTTGTCGTTACCTTGTTCTTAGTTAATTAAACATGAGCACGGTCTCCTTATTCGTCACTTTGAAAGTGCCGTATACGACACTATCAATTATGGGCCGTTCATTTCCTTCCACTAATTTCGTTTGATTGGATCCACGTTGATGTCATTGTCGGGCCACTATTATATCATTGAATTTGATTAATTTAAAGAGTAATGTTATCTATACCATGTTTTTATACCACATTTCTATACCATCTTAGGTGACATTTGATGTGGTTCTCCACATCATTTGAAAAATTTGCAAAACCGAAGGAAATGAAGTAGAAAGACTCCTTATATACCACAATCATTATTTAATTAACTAGTTTTTTTAATTATTAGTTTATTAAATAATGAACTAAATTTAAAAATTTGATTAATTTAAATATCCACATCAAATACCACCTAAAGTGGTACGAAAATGTGGTACAATCATTACTCTAATTTAAAACCTAATCTAATCCCATTTTTGTCCACAAACAAATGGTTTAGCTTAGATTTTTTTTATTTTTATTTTTTAAAACTAAATTGTGGCTAATGACAACGTGAACGTAGTGTAGTTGGTAATTATTAGATATTTTTCACCAAATGCTTTGTGCTTGAGATCATCAATGGTTGGTACTGCATACAAATTTTCTACTTATCCAATATATTTACTTGCCAATGTCATCCCTTTGATTTTTATTTACATTTAACGCATGTGCACGAGTTATTTTTTCCGTCTCCTTTGTCCGTATCTAGCTAATTAAACAAAAAGAAGTTAACTTGCACAAACATCACATGGACTAATAAGGATTTGTGTGCATATATCACCTAAAGTATCTTGTCATTTACCACAAAGATTTTGCTTTTAGTGCAGATGTACCGTCTCTCTTTTCAAAATTTCACCACTTCGAAACCCCTAAACAATTTATATTATGTTGTAAACATTCATAGTTTAAGTGTGATTGTGTAAATCTTATATTAGATTTGATTCTAGTTATCCTTTCTTATTGTATCTTGAATTCCTTGGTGATGAAGGAATATCTTCTCTCCTTTTATTACTATAAATAAAGGCACAATGTAGGAGGGATAACGACACACATTCCTTCACAATTCTACAAACACATCTCTCTTTCTCTTCTTCTTCTTGCCGCCTGCCCTCTTTAACCTTGTCAGATAAAATAGACCACAACACGTTATCAACACGCTTCTATCACTGTGCTTACGAACGTTAGTGAAATTTTCTGCATCAAACCAGTTCATCCATATCATCACACAATCAGGTTCTTTCAAAACAGCAGTTTTTATCTCGATATTTTTGCAGCCCTAATAGCATGAACATTCACCATGATGCATGACCCAACTTTACGTTTTACGAATTTTAGATTCTACAGAAATTGTATATGCATCATAATCATAATTGTTGAATTATGTGAATTTGATATTTGCCATGAATTGCATCAAATATATGTATATGCATCTTGAATTCAATTAACATATTATTGTTTTGCATATGCATATAATTGAATGAATATGATTTGAATTGAATTATATGAAATGAAAAACAAAAAAAAAAACAAAAAGTAATCGGAACCCATGACCTCAAGCACTCGCCCAAGCCTGCAACTTGTGGCTGAACCATGCTGAAGCTAAAAGCTCCAGGTGCAAACCTAGAAAACCCAACACCATTAACGGTGTCCTTGTCCATATTGACCATGGGATGTCGATGACAACCAGAAGTCGTCCCACACCGAAATTGGGCCAAGATTCATTGACATTTTTCTATAAACCCAATTCGAATTTCTAGGGTTTTACAACGAATATCGAA